TGTGATCCAAACCCAGGCACACCCAGCAATCGCGGAGGGACATCGCCAGTTCAATCTGCGCTTTTGGTAGGTACCCCCCGCCAGGCGCTGGCTTGTTAGACAGCGCCAGGTTCACCCGCTGACGCTTCCGTCCCATCACTTGTTGCCATTCGCCCTGGACCACTCGGCCCGCCTGTCCCGTTCATGGGAGCTGTATTTTGATGCGTCTCAACCAGACTCACTACACTTATTACTTTGCATATCAAGGTAACTCAAGGAAAAGAAAGCCTTCCCGGCCCCGGCCCCGGCCCCGGCCCCGGGGTTCCCGCTAACTGTATACTCAAAATAGTTCGTCTATAGTCACGTGGAAAAATTACAGACGTAGCTAGTCAGCAGAACCGAACGAATTCACTGGCAATGGATACCTTAAGGTACATGAAGCTTCATGCATACTAATAGTTGGTCGAGGTGAGCCCAGGAAGAAAAACCACCGCTCACATCCTGTACCCCGTCCACGCATCACATAAAAACTCCACTATCGACCTCCTAGAGCTCCATAAGTGGAATCCCGGTATTGCATCACGGTATCGACGTACAGCCGGAAGACCTGAAAGCGAGCCGTTTGGTTCGTGGTCATCAAGCACGCGCCTTTCTTAGCCACGGAAACCCAACTTAGATATGGAAGCTGTAGTAGCTGGCCGCTGAAAAGTCGTTTGTTCAGGTGAGCGACTGTGCTACAGAAGCCCAGTCTACGACTCATTTACTAGGATGGTCTTTATATATGCCGTGTCATGATGCAATAGATAGGACTGAAAATAAATGATTTACATACAGACAATCAAAAACATTTAGACATCCAAAGAGATTTCATCCGTTTATGTCTTACACCCAGTTTCCCAGCCGTACAATTACATGCTGTATAACCGACAAAAACAAGCACCAGGCACAACCGGCCGCAGGCATGGCTAGCTAGCTATGCGCAAACTGCAGTGTCAGCCTGCAGGCATCACGCACAATGTACCGCCCCATACCATGTGCATGGCCGCACGCACAGCCCTCGTGTGCACCCAACACAGCACCCAACATGACGATACGATAATTAGCAACGTTGTCATCACCTCGAAACTTAGGTTTGTCATAAGTTTGTGTACGGCAAATGTACGAATGTACAACGAATGTACAAACGAACCCACGCGTGTATGTGTGCATGCATGCACACGCCCCAGCCCGAAGGGCACAACACGCAATGCGCAGTATGCTCCGAACCCATAGCCTCACTAATGCCAGTTATTAAGTTATTTCCACTGATTTCTTCAAGCCAATACGGTATGTATGTACGGCATCAAGGTAAAATGCCTGCACAACTTTGGACACCTTGTGCTTGCAAGTACCAACCACCGGCAATCGCTGCTGCAAGATCTTTAAATTGACAGATCGATACGGGCCAGCAGGATCATATAAATATGCATCGAACCAACCTAACAAGCCGCTGCCATGGCTCTCAACAGAGCTGAGCCACGCCGCCGCCTTGGCAGGTAGTAAGATGATGAACTGAGCCAAGAAACCAAATCTAAATGATAAAGAGATGGCAATAATCAAGCATCGCACCAACCATCAATTAGATAAAGGGACTACCCCTTCCAAGGACAAGACTATGCAATTTACCAGCTAATTTAAGTCCGTCGAATATTGGGTGCACGTGCTCCGCGTCATGGTAGAATTGAGACCAGAGTTCAATTTCCGCCTACTGCACGGTCCTTAGCCATTGTACCTATGACCAATGGTCACGCACGTGTGCGCGAGGGAAGTCGCTAGCACAACGTTGTCCGCCGTCGAAGCATCCTCACAAAGATAGATCCAAACGCGACAAGGTCTCGAGGCAAGGCATAAGAAGATTAGACATGCGTACATCTTCGTTAAATTTCACGTGAACTTGCAAGGCTGCCCTACTGAGGAAGCTTGCCGCCCACCATCAGATAGACCTCCCAAGTTCAAGTGGCCCAGAAGCCTCCCACTCTGTAACGACGACAGATAGACCTGAGTCAACTGTCATAAAGTAGCATGAATCATTACGCTCTTGCATTGAGCGTACGAAGCTCCTGCAGTGGCCGTACATGGCTTGCCCGTACACTCAAGGTACAGCTCTCCGCCGCACATCTTATCCGTTTTTACTCTAACGGGGTAACGTTAACGACACCTTCACACATAATTATCCAAGCGTTCTCACGTGAAGTTTGGGTTCTGCTTCAGACGTCTGCCTGGCCATAGCTATGGCTGTAGCCTTGAAAGTAGCCGTTGTTGTTTTCTGTACCTGTTTCTGTACGTTTTCAGTATCATGCTGGCATCACCGTTCTTCTTCGTGTAGCTGTGGCTGCTGTCACTGCAACAGCCGCTGTGCTGGCAGCAACGCCACGACTAACGGTAACCTTGGCTGCTTATACACCGCTGCCGGGTTGCTCCTTCTGACTCTGTTACCGGGCAACCGCGGCTGTTGCTTCGGCCGTCGTCCCAAGCTGCAAACTCTGGTCCAGGACGGGCAGCAGACTGCCGCTGGCAGTGCCTGCCGCCGCTGCAGCAGCGACCGCCGCTGCAGCACCGGCTGACGCCGGCGCGCCGGCCACCGTTGGCGCCGCCGTCACACGTGCCACCGCCGCCGCCACCGCTGCCGCTGCTGCGTCAAAGTCTTCTAGCAGTAGCGCAGCGTCCTGGGTCCGACCAGGCAACAGAGCGCTCGATACGGGTGGTCGTGTCAGGGCCATCATCGCGCCCACAGGTGCACACGTCTGCGATTGCAAAATCCGAGCGAAACCAAAAAAGTTAACAAACAAGTGACAAACAATCAACCATCAATAGCGAGGCCCAGGGCCTTAATAGAAAGGGCTCGGAACGAAAAACAGCATGATTACGTAAAATGGACTGTAGATATATCAGCTTATGAAATCGAGTGCCTGGCCACCTTGTTGCCTTCCTTAGCATCCTAAACTCCAACGTAAACGCATTTCAAGTTCCACTTCATCTCATCTCCCGTTACTGCTGAAGGGTGTCTTCACCCCGCCGGCCCCGCTCATCTCAATCCATGAACAAGGAAACATCACACATCGCCGCTTGTCGATCGACCAACAGACAGCCAACACGTTTGGCTAAACCCTTTTTATAAAAGGGGTTCACAGGCGCATGAGGGCACCTCGGCAAGACGCACCTTTTCGAGTCCCCGACTGAAACCGAGCCTGATGAGGAAACGCGCCACGCACCCAACGCCAAATTAGGCACCAGCACCAGCAAATTAGGCGACCAGACGAACGCGCCGGCACCCGTGCCTAAACAAACCCCCCAGGCCCTACACACGGCCAGGCACACAGGTCATAACGCACCATCCGTAACTTGTCCCCCACCGCAGCCGCAGCCTGGGATCGCTCCATCCGCAGCAGCGCCTTGACCACCGCCCTCGCGCTGGGGCGGTCTCGTGGGTTGGGACTCAAACAGCGCCGCAGCACGCGGGCATACCGCTCTGGACAGCTCGGTGAGATCTCGAGCACGTCACAGGCGCGAAGCCGGTCATTCCATTGGTCGCCATCGATGGCCTTGGCGGTAACGCCACGGTTGCCGTCGGCCGCGGCAGCCTCGGCGGCGGCGCTGACGGCTGCACCATCGCCGTTCGCAGGCAACTTCGCTGGCTTCCGGGCCTTGTGCTTTTTCAACCTCCAGGGAGGTGTTCCGTGGTAAAGCTCCCACAACAGCACGCCTAACGAATAAACGTCCTGTTCGGTTGGTGGTTTCAGTTGGGTTTAGTTCAGTTAAGACGTATTTATGTGTGCTTCATTCCGCATTTTTTACGGCGCCATTCACGCGGCCCACCACCATCGCCACCACCACCAAGGATGCAATTGTCGGTCAGATCTCGTCCGTTCCCAAACCAAACAACAGGCAGGCCGCAGCGAACAACCTTGTTCATTTGTATGTTGTCCATGTCGTCCATAAAACCCTAACACCCAAAACCCAACAAGTCCAAAACCCTAAAAACCTTATGTCGTCCATGTCGTCCATTCGCACTCACCGCAGCCAGACTGCAAGTGCCGTGCTCCGCAACCTCCGGGCTCTGGTAGTACGGCGTGCCGTGATGAACCTGCGCCGTACAATTGGAGACGTGGCGCGATACGACAGATTCATCACCGCTGGCGGCGGCGGTCTACTTAGGACGGCCTAATTACAACCCGCAACCTAGCTGAAGCAGATACTAGGTCACTGAGCCATCCAGCCAGCCCACTCAGACGCCATATTCCATGATTGCCAATTTAGGAACGGGAGGATATAGACAGCCCAGCATATTTGCCTCTGGGGTCGGGGGTTGGGGAGGTAGGGGGGTAACCTAGGGCGGCGCCCTAACCCGGGAGGTCCGGCGACAAGAGGTCGCAGACGTCCCACCCTAGCATGCGCAATGGCTGCTGCTGCTGCTGCAGCCAGAGTCGAGTACCGCGCAATGCACTTCGCTCGGTACGTGCATGTACAAAACACAAGCGCGTGTGCATGTACGTGTACATGTACATGTACGGGACGAAAAAGCAAAGACAGCGCACTTACGTTTTTCAGGTGGTCTTGTCCATGCTCCAGTCGCATACTCAGTCCAAAGTCAGACAACTTGGCCACCACCGGGATGTTCTCATTCTTGGTCTTCAGCAACAGCACGTTGTTCGCAGACAGGTCCCCATGAATGATGTTCCTGGAGTGCAGGTACGCCACGCCGCTGGCAATGCCAAGAGCCGTGTGAATGACCAGGAATAGGTCCGCGGGCAGGGCCTCATCCGGCGCCAGGGCAGGCTCCGCAGGCCGTGGCTGCGCCGCGACCGTGGCGGCGGCGGCGGCGGCCGCTGGCAGCACATCGGGCAGTGACGGTGGCGGAGGTAGACAATGCACATCGCCGAGAGTGCCGCATCCGCTGCTAATCAAAGTGGACGCGCAGATGGTACTATATGCTGTGGCGTTGGTGACTGTCGTACCGATGATGTTGGAGTCCAAGGTGGCCGTCAGCGGACTGTGAGGGCATTCCAAGTCGGTTTGTGGCGCTCCTGTCGGCGTCTCCACCACCGCCGCGACCGCCGCCTCCGATGGCTCCGCAGCCTTGTTGTTGGCAATAGATCCATTCTCAACCAGCGACAGCAACTCCACCGTCGGCGCAGCTGTGTCGACGGCGGCATCGGCGGCGTCGGCTCCGCCTCCGCCAGCACTGGTATAGGGAACCGCGACCGTGGCGGCCCCGTCGTTTTCAGTGGTGCCACCGACATTTGTCATCCCAGGAAACTCGTCGCGCACCAGCCGGCCTTGCCTCCCGATGATCATCAGCGTCTGCACCTCGTCCAGGGAATCCGCATGCTCGGCGGCGGCGGCAGTTCGACGACCGTTGCCGCCGCCATCACCGCCGCCATCACCTCCGCGACAAGCGGCGGGGCTGCGAGCCAATCCCCCACCAGACGACTTATCGCGGGGCCTGCACTCCATGCCGCTGTGTCGAAAGAGCTTGCCCTGGTCCACGGCCTGCCGCAGAGTCCCGCCGTCGCAATACTCTACAGACAGACAGACATACAGATATATCATGGACACGGACAAGGTCGTATACGCTGCCAGTGCCGTGGGCTGGCACACATGTAGATGCAACACCAAGGCGAGGGCCCGCCCCTCCCTCCGGTCCAACACTTCTCCTATCTCAGGTGCCGTACTGCAGTACATTGTAACGTGTTGCAGATTCGCCACATGTAAGGCCATGTGGCAATCCCAATCATCGTCGCTGCGGCAGCTTTTCTGTTATACTGTTATACTGTTATCAGCTCGTTGTTCGTTGTTCGTTGTCGTTGTGCGGTTGGCTATCCCTTCATTCCTAAGTAACGCGGGTCTCCGAGCAGTGTATGTATGTGGGTATAAACCCCCAGTAAGGACACCAAGACAACGAAACAACAAAACAGCTCCACCACACGCGAATCCACCACGTGCAAGAAATACATGTATATACATATAGAGAGAGCGCCCTCAGCCGTGCAGTAATCAGAGCTGACCCGCCCCCTGCTCTCAATCTTCCTGTAAACGACTCCGCCTCCTAAGCTGGCTTCTTACCATAGGTCGTACAGGTCGTACGATACTAGATCTCTAGTACGGCCTTACCTTGGATCAAGTACAGTCGCCAATCAGTTATGGCGGTCTTGGTAAGGGTAGGCCGGTAACGAGGTAAGCCACCGCGTTTGTCAAAGCTCCGCCTCGCGGGCCCGATGACCCTGGCAACGGGGGCAGTCGTACCGGCGGCAGTCGTACCGGCGGCGGCGCCAGGGGGGTTTTCCGCCCTGCAGCCTTCGTCAGCAGCTACCGCCGCCGGATCCGCAGCCCCGGCCTTCCCCGCCGCCGCCGCGCCGTGACCGGGTGACTGTGAAGCTGTCGTACGCAGCGCCTCCGCCAACGGAAATGGCAACAGCGGGGATGTCCTGTGGCCGCCCCCCCGGCGGTCCTGGTGCTCTTCGGATGTGCTGTCCTCCGTTTGCTGCTGCATGGTCGCCACACACCACACCACACCACACATCATCGCAGCAAGTTACATCGCAACACATCATGACGCGTACATACATACGGCAGCTGGACCGACCGACCGACCGACAGACTGACTGACAGACATAGCTGTAAGCCATTAATCAGGCCCTCGAGCCGACGATCCACACCTCCCGACCACTATCCGCCCTCCAACCCAGCCACCTTAACCCCTTAACCCCTTTCCTGCCCCACGCAACCGCACGCACACTCAACCCCCCGCGTACACGCTTCCCGTACACGCTTCCCATGCACGCACCCATACACGCGCACCTGCAGTATGTCGTCAAACATGGTATGTCGCTTGGTGGACCTCAGGTAGTAGTGGTGGGTGGCCACCACATTGGGGTGGTGCATGGTGCAGCAAAACGCCGCCTCCCGGATACACTGCTGTCGAGCTGCGTGACCGGCAACCAGGGCTGGGGCGCTCTCGCTGAAGACCATAGTCTTGATGGCCACCTGAAAGGGTGTGTCGTGATGGTGGTATGTATGTATGTATGTATGTATGTATGTATGTATGTATGTATGTATGTATGTATGTATGTATGTATGTATGTATGTATGTATGTATGTATGTATGTATGTATGTATGTATGTATGTATGTATGTATGTATCTATGTGTGGGACAGGGGGGCATATATTCACCCGTGGCAGCTACCTGGCGATTTCCTGCCTTCCCCGGTATTTCGAGGCACCCTCATCTAGTCACCCTAGTCAACTTCTCAGTGGATCGCTCAGGTTCCGCACACACCCCGATCTCCCGGGGGCATTGGTGCGTGCTCTACCAGTAGTGCCTGACCTGAGTATGTATGTGTATGTATGTATATGTATGTATATGTATGTATATGTATGTATATGTATGTATATGTATGTATATGTATGTATATGTATGTATATGTATGTATATGTATGTATATGTATGTATATGTGTATGTATGTATGTATCTATGTGTGTGATGGGGACGGGCCAAGCGAAAAGAGTGTGTGCGACATGCGTACGACGGGTTTTAAAGCAATCGGTCGTGGGCAGGAACTGGAGGGCATATATTTACGGCATGGGACAAAACGTACGACATGTGCACGGCAAGGGCCGACACGCCATTGGCGGTAACGATCGAGGGACGGGTAAGGAAAGGGCAGAGGCGGCACCGTGTTCACGGGCAAGGGCAAGGGCAAGGGAGGAAAATAAATAAAATCGATAAATGAAAGATAGTTCACAGATGGAGTGGGGGAGGGGGGAGGCAAATGTGGTGTGTTCAGATGTGAAGCTATGGTGAGCAAGTAGGGGTCAGAGAGTGCGGGGCTGAGGGGGAGTTCGTGGTGTGGGAAATACCCAATGTTGTGCGGGACCCGACCACTCCTGCCGTACGCCGTACGCCGTATACGCCTGGAAAATCAGCAATTTCGCACGTGAAAGACGGCGGGAGATGTGGTCGTGTAGGTCGTGTGCTGTTAACTCGTGCAGCAACTAGCATTACCTTGAGGCCGTGCCACGTGCCGCCGTACACCACTCCAAAGGCTCCGGAACCGCAAATCTCCGTCATCTGCAGGCAAATAAAAGTGAGTGAGGGGATGGGCAGGCAGGAGGACGGCGGCATGACCCCCGGGGGTTTCAACCACAGCGAGTGAGTGAATCGGGTTTTTACGACATTTCTTAGAAAAAGGCATACACACCTGTAACACGCAAATAAATCTCCCGGGGGGAAATTGCCGAAACCCTCCTCCCAGCGCCGTCATTAAGGCAAGGTTAGTGCTTATGCCGTACATACTTCCCAGCAAATCCGGCAACTCACAACAATGTTGAACTCGGCAGCCTCTGCATTGACGCGATCCAGAATGTCGGCCACGTCGTCGGAACTCAGCTTGGCGCCTGATTTGGCAACGAACAGGGGTGCCTATTTTGGCGACAGCCAAAAATCGACCATACGAGACATCAGAGCAGAGCAAGGAAAAGCTCCTAACTAGGCAACCCTCGTGCCTCGTACTTAAAACCCCTCGGCGGCGTCAGCAAACCGGCCCGGGCGAGTCCCCACACTCACCACGGACCAAGTCCAACTCAAACGCCGGATCGTCAAAAGAGTCGTACAGAGGCCGACGAGGCTCAGCGCCCGCCGTAGCATCGCCGCCTGCATTGTCGCCGCCGCCGCCACCCGTACGACATAAAGCCGCCGTCGGCTCCGTCTTGATGACCTCACCCGCCTCCAAATCCCCCCGTTGCTTTCCCTTAGCTGATTTAACGCCGTGTAAGGCCCGGCTGTGCTTGACGGACAGCACCACCGCCGCCACCGCGGCAGCCACGATCGCCAGCCCAAGCATAGCCGCCAGGACAGCCGCCCGCCATCCTCTCAAGCCGCTGCTACCGCTACTGGCGGCGGCGCCGCCGCCTCCGCTGCCGTTGCCGCCAACGGCATCGTAAGCCGCCGCGGACCAGTTGCCGTACTGACCAGCCCAAACTAAAAAGGTGATGTCTGCACCACGTAATCCCGGCAGCAGCAACAAGTCGAAGGCTAGGGATGCAAGAACTCGGGGGTCAGAGTCGCCGGCTGTGGACGATGTGTTGTACGACGGCGCAGAAACGCTTGGCTGTACGGCAGATAATGAAGAAGCCTGCAGTGATAAAGACGGCATCAATGGGAATTTCAATCACAATTTGGAGTTGTTGTAAACTGGTCAGGGGGAGGACATATGCAATTTGAATGAAAAAAGAGCTGAAAGAAGCAATCTCGCAAAAGAGAGCAACGTAAAGCAACGTAACGTACAGGAGCAGTAAAAACAAATTCGCCCCAACGCAACGCCCCACGTCGCCATAAACTCCAACACCACAGCAGCAGAATAAAAGTGCGAATTTAACGGCTCCAGAGTGGAATTGCACTGGTTCCGGAGCTGCCTTTCAGATGGAGAGGCCGTCCGCCAAGGGACTGCTGTGCGGTGCTCTTAAACATGCTCTAAAACATTTCTATAATTGTTCAATTTTACGGCATTCAAACACATCAAAAGATTGCTAGAGAATCCGTAAATCTGCTAAGTGTGCAAATTCACCAAAATTTTACACTACATTACAATCAACATAAATTGAAAATGTCAACTGAAGTCAACTGAAGCCAACTGAAGAAACCGCCAAATGAATCCCGCCGTTCGACGTCACCTACCCCGATGTACACCGACAACGGAGAGAAATACGGCATGACAGCGCCGTTGCCGCTGCGCATTTTGTCGTACTGCTCAAGCTCCACAGCTGGTACGACAATCGACACATTGTCGAGCAGTAGCTGCACGTTGCGCCTGGAGGAACGGGGGACGCGGAGGCACACAGCGCTCAGTACGGCAGGGTCGTTTAAATTAACAGTTGTGGAAACGGTTTTTTGCGAACGGGACTTCGGGAGCCGGACGAGGGAGTTAAAGTACAACATAAGTAAATGTCGTACAAACCCGCGAATAGCAGTACACGGAGAAAAGCATCTTACCTTGCCATGTAGCAATATGGATGACGATAAAAGAGGGGTGAGAGGCTGCAGATGCACTACCCGCAACACTACAGGGCTGGCGCTGGTGAATCTTGGCTGCGGATTTCCAGAGTCAGCAGCCGCCCCCCTTCCATTACCCCACCCGCGGTCACTGCAACACCCCCCTCCCTCCCACCCACCCACCCTCCGCCCCCGAAATACCGGCAAAAAAATAAATATATACCAATCAAAAATGGTATTCTTCCATCGGAGAAGAAGATCAAATCAGGTATTATCTTCGCTAAAGTGAGGCGAGAATTACTTAATTCGCTTAATTTACAGGTAAATCCTCAGCCAGACAAGCTCAGTTAAGCCGCCACTTCAGAACAACAACGTTAAAAAGAAACTAGTGCGCACAGAACAGCACAGCACAGCACAGCACGCAGCCGCCGTACCGCAACACAGCAGCTGTGCCGCGTGATCCTCTACTTTCTTGCCCCGGGCATTATCTCATCCCATTTTTAATGCACAAGGGGCTACTAGTCAGGGGCTACTAATATTACCGTTTTTGTTAGGGGAATAATTCATAATGCCAATCCCTATGTCGGTAATTTCTAGGGTCTGCAAAATCGCCGCCTCCGACAGACCGCCTCCCCGCCCCCCCCCCCCCCCCC